AGGCCATCTTATATCAATGAGCATTCTTACTCTCTTTTCTCTTTATGCTTTCTTTAATTGTTTTGTTAATCATGTTTGAGTAGGTTTCCTTCTACTAGGTGTTGAGTGAAGCTTTGTAATGGTTAATTGAGTTATTTGAGATAAATTTGATGATAATTGTGTGATTAAATTGATTGAATTGATGATGGCATGTTGTTTGTTTTAGATTGGATTGATCTCCCATGATAGCAAACTTAATTGCATATTAGTTCTAGTTTAACAAGGGATTGTGAATTAGAATTGTTATATTTGATTGCATATTGGGTAAATTTCTTCTATGCACCTAGTCAATGAGGGATCTAGGCTAGGAATTTGAGAGATTGCTCTTGAGTGTAATTAATGCCCATTTTAATTCTTTCTTTGCATGATTGATTTTCAAATGGATTCTCATTAACTTTTTAATTGTTCAAAGTGGATCTTTACCCCTAGTAGACTTTATAATATTTGTTCTTTATATGTGTGTTAGTGTAGTTGTAGTGTCCACTATCCATAAACCGACTTCGGTGTAGCTTAAGAATTAGATCGAGAACAATCGATCTAACATTATCGTTCCTTGTGGTTCGACTCCGAACTTACCACTAGACTTGTTTAGGGGTTAGTTTAGGATTATAATAAATTTTGTTTGGCCGTGAGGAGGTTAGTCTTGTGTGCGGCCGACCACACCGTGTGACCACTTAAAGTAACCCCTATAACATTGATTAAGTAACCCCTGTAATACCAATTAAGTAATCCCTATAACACTGACCGAGTAACTCTATAACAATGATGAAGTAACCCCTTTAACACTATCAAGTAACCCCCATTACACTAGCAAAGTAACCCCTATAGTGACTGGCCACACGGTGTGACCAGCCACATATAAGACTTTGTGAAAATTAAAACAAAGTGTCCATTATATGTTTTATTATACAAGTACGTACATTTATCTCCAACAATCAAGAAACTTGATGATTGTATTTTTTTTTTTTTTTTTGAAACAAATCTTTTTTTGGTGGAACTTGATGATTATATACGAGTAGATAATAAGAAATTAAGAGTATATGTGTAGGGAATAGTTTCAAGCCTTTAAAATCCCACTAGCTTGAACCCCACTGTGATTATACACTAAATTACGGTGGCGTCCAAAAGGGAAGAAGATAGAGAAAAAAAGTCGCCAACAAGTTTTTAAGGAACTTGTAAACCGTTCATAGGATGAAGGTTACACCCCTTAACGATCCAAGAGATCGTCAACTCCATAAGGCCATGAACCAAATAAGGGTTCGGGGATGATGGTACAAATCCAACCTAAAAGAGATTGAACCTGCCTTAATAATAGGCCTCTACTTTATTCTGATCGTATTCATGTGCGCTTTCTGACTAACATACAATCAATAGGATTAACCTTAAACCTGTTTAAACTATGTTGGTTGAATTTAATGCACAAACAAGTCTATTATTGGCGATCACTTGAATTTATAATCACAATTAACCTAACAAGATTATTAATATCTTATTAAGCGTGGTTGCAAATACCAATTCCCTTTAACCATACATAAAAGGTGATCAAGAAATAAATAATATAAAATAATATGCATATCAAGCAACATAATAAATAATCAATAATCATTCATAATCATAATAATAATAATCATAAATATTAGGAAGAACATAGGAAGCATCATACTTTTAATCATACTTAATATTAAAGATACCCTAGACATGATACTAGGAATCATAAATAACAATCTAAGCATGATATCTACATCATGAAATCAATTAAACCATTAAAATACTTACTTGGATGCCTCGTACCTCTTTCTAATTACAAAATACACGCGTTAGTAACTTCAAGGAAAAATAATAATCAAAACAATTAAATTAAATTAATTGAAAGAGAGATTTGGGACCAAACCATCAGAAATTAAAACCTTTCACGTCTAGGGCGAAGGCAACTTCGAATATGGCTAGGTGTTTCAAGATCTTGTGAATGCGGAATTTTGTGTGAAAAAGTAAAGTATAGAAAAGAATGCTAAAAGATTAATGTTATTGAAAATTGATGATTGAATGATGTAGATGAAGAGAGAGTTAATGAAGAACTTAAGAATAAAGAGAATTGGTGAATCATAAAGTGATTGTTGATGAATGATAATTGGAGATGAATGAAAACGGAGTTCTTGATACGATATTTATAGAGAAAAAAATCCAAAAAAGATAATTTATCAAAACAGAGTCTGAAGATCGAAAAACTAACTTGGCGCCAGGACCAGTGGCTAGCGCCAGGCGCCAATGGCTGGAGTCTGGCGCCAACCTGATTCCATGCGCCAAGGCCTGGGGTTGGACGCCAAATTGGATTTCAACGCGTTTTCGAAAATCTGATAATTTTACTGTACTGGAAGATAAAATAATATAATTTCAGTCGAAAATGCTATTTGATCTAATTAAAACTCTGAAGAATCCTAATTGAATTAAGAATGATAAGACCTTCTAGAAGATTCTAGAAGACTAAAACCATTCCTAATTACATTAGGAATGATAAATCATATCAGGCCCTCCCCTAGATCATTGGGCCGTACTTAAAACTCAAACCGGGCCCAGTTTAGTAAATTGGCCATAACTTCCTCAATATTCATCGGAATTGGGCTTATAATATGTCGTTGGAAAGGTCTTTGCAAGCCCCATCCAACTACACCACTATTGGACCCATATCATGGACCAACCAAACTGGATTGGCTGTTTTCTTAAAATAAAGTTTTCAAAAACAGAGAGAAGAGAAAAGAAAAGAAATAAAACTTTCCGCAACGCTAGACCTTTCCACACTTTCGTTTCATTCGATTATGATTCGACGTGAAAGGCACTCATCACTGGGTTTGGTTTTGGGGAGACACAAATGGGTGTCTACAATATGTTATTTCCGTAACACTTCTTTTAGGAATGCTTGTAATTTGCCTTTGCAAGTTTATCATGTTGTTTTGGCTAATTTCTCGATCTAAGGCTGAATTTAGTTTTTATCTTTGTTAAATAATTGTATGTACATCTATCTTTATTCCTTGTACGTCTATTACTTTTGTTGTATACCTCTATCCGTTATGCACTTGTGCGTCTATTACTTTTGCTATACTAGTTGTGGGAGCGCGCATAACCAAACTTTATGGCAATTGATTACAAAGGGGGAAGCAGCGGGTTTAGGGTTTGTGAAGGGGCTAGGAAGTCATGCCAACCGGAGAAGGAAGGGTGGGGAAGGAGGGGCTGGGGTCACCGGTGGGAAGGGGAGGGGTCAGTAGTCAGGGGAAGGGGGACAGGTCGGTGGTTGTATGGTTAATAATTTAATTTATCTGTTTTTGTAAACAAAAATAATTAATATATTTGATATACACCAACAAATCAACAATATAGTAGTTGGACAATATAAAGTTGTTTTCAAACTACAGTTATATATTTCCTAAAAAAAAAAAATTGCAACCATATATTGTTTATTCTACAAATGTATCACGGGGGAAGCACTGTCCCAATGATATTTCAATTTATACTTTAAACTTGATGCAACTCATTAGGTCTAGGGATTGAATCATAGCAAGCACAAAATGCCCCCAATTGATAATAGTGATGAGCAGTGGCGGATCTTGAAACCTTTTCTTTCAGGGGCCAATAATTTTTAATGTAAGCATATGAAAATTATTTACAAATTCAGTGCGATTTTTTATTATAAATGCTAAGGTGTTAAAAACAACTTGTTAATTGATAAATACTCATATAAATAGAAAAATATATAACGACATATTGAAGGTATGAAAGCAAAAACTTACTTTATACTTTTAACAGAGTAATTTATCGACCTTAATAACGTCTTCTCGCTTAAAATTATTAATTATTTTCTAGTGCTCAAACAAACCAATATAACGTACGAAGTAGAAATTTATTTTAACAATAACGAATTGTCAGTACTTTTGGAAATTGGATTGTAGGTTGCTTATACTCTATAGTTAGTTACCTTTTCTACGCTACTAGGCAAATAGGAAACACAATGGTTTTTTTTAAATGGGCCTTCAAACAAAGTACAGTACTCCGTATAATTTTTTTTTTTTCCATAAGTTATTAGGTGCCAAGCCCTCTTCAACCCTAACAATAATCCGCCCATGGCTATGAGCATTTACAATGGATAACAAAGGAGGAAAATAAACTATTAACTATAATTATTTAAAAATTGCAATTAAAAATGGACAACTGGGGTTCGAAACTCTGAGTCACAGTTTTATGGGATTAATCTTTGACCGATTGAATTAAAGTTTTATTTTTACATCATTGTTGATGCCCTAATGGATCCCACACCTCAAAGTTGAAATGGCCCCGTTCTTTAGAACTGCTCTGATTAAAAATAATACTAATCAATTACATACTACTAAAAGCGAATCTAAAGACACACGTGTCAATGTATTATTAAAAAATTTCCCGCCAAAAATACCTTCTAAAAAAATTATTGTTACTTAAGGAAAATAAAAATTATATCTAAATTATGACATAATTTGTTTTATATAAAATATAAATCTTTTCCTAAAAAATTAAACTATCCATTATAAGTTTATAACTATTACATGTTTTTTTTAAATATTTTCTCTTGCATGCTTTTATTTAAAATTATTTAACAACCCAGGGCCTTAAGTGTTTAGAGAGCCACAAGGGTGGGGGTGAGAATCGATCCCAGGATCTCCTGAAATCGGGAGGGAAACTCTAACCACTTGAGCTATCCATCACTCTCTATCCAATTTTAATTTGAATGTACTAGTGCCTAACATAGTAACATACTACGGAGAACGTACAGGAAATGTGCCCAAGTGGCCGGGTCACGCACTAGTTTCAAAATTAAAAGGTGTCCGCTAAACTTAATTTAAATGTTGTGCCTAACATACGGAGTACAATACTCCGTAACACAACACTCCGAAACACAACACTCCGTATTTACATACGGAGTACTCCGTATTTGGTAGTATCTCAGTTCCGAAATCAAAGAAAACAAGTGATCTACGATTCCCGCGATCTAACCTGCCCTTTTCTACCTTTTTCTTACACTATTTCAAATAAAAATTCCTCATTTCTTACAATTAATTTCCATGGATTCCGACAAACCCACTCCTTTCTCCGGTAATCGGCGGGAACATCAACCCTAATTTTTATCTCCAAATTCGTCTGTATTCATGTAATTCAACTTCAATTCCAGGTAAAAAGCGAATCCTAATTTCTATTTTCCTCTGTAATTTCTTCTAAAATTCCTCGTTTTTTTCAGCTTTACTGTTCTTCATTTTCAATTTTTATTCTATTAATTGTTAATTGTTCAATCTATGCTGTGCTATAATTTGATTGTTCTTCTTGTTTGTTGCGGGTTTGTGATTTTATTTGCTGATATTTTTTGCAAATTATTTTTTATTTTTTATATTTTTTTTTATTTTTTTATTTTTTATTTTTTTATTTTTTTTGTGGATAAGCTGTTTTTCTTTTGAATTATGGGGAGTCTGAAATTCTTAATAACTTATTCAATTTGGTTTTGTCTTTTTCAATTTTTAGTGGTTGCTTACTTGGTGAGGATTTAGTTGCCGCGTTACTAGTTTAAATTACAATTACACTATTGATGTGCCTGTTAGTTTCGAATGGAGGGAGTGGTCAGGAGTAGAAATAAAATAACTGATGCGATTAAGCAGAACCAGCAGTTACTATCGTGGTTCGAGGAATGGGATATCATTGAGAGAAAGAGGTTAAGGGTGATGAATGGTGATATAAGAATTGGAGATCCTAGTGGATGCACAAAATGGGTAATGCTTGGACGAAGCTTTCGAAGGCAAAGTTAAGCTAGGAAAGTTTGTGGTGTTATATTGTTATGGGGAGGTTTAACTAAAAGTTGACTAATCTAGTAGGAAAGTTTGTGGAGCTTCACAAAGGCAGTGTATCTATTATGGGTTTAATGGTTAAGGGTGAAAACTTAGAAGAATGTTAAGCTAATCGCTATTTGCAAAGTGGTGATATTTGTTGGTGAGAGTTAATGTGCAGAAGTTATACTATGTAGTATGTACTAGTTGTAAGATTTTAAATAATCTAATGCATTCAGAGAAGTGGAGCTTGTTGTTCTATGGTTTGATTTATAAAGACTACTGTGAACTGTGAAGGAGTAATAAATTAAGGGGCTCTTTCTTTAGTATGCTAAGAATTTGTTGTTGGTATTCTACGAGAGTGTCTAGTTTGATTAAAAAATCATCATGCGGGTTTCTTGTTATCCTATCAGCTTAAAAATGTGCAGTCAGTGCATTTAATTGTTTAAAGATAAGGAATGATAGATCACAAAACCATATTTTAGGGGTTATTATTTGGTTATAAATTGGCAATATGTTGTAAGACATACATGCTCTCACATTTGTAATCCTGCTCATATATGGAGTTTGTGACTCTTATTAGTATCAACTGATACTTTAAGAGTTTGAGTACTAGTGTAAACTATTCTAGGTACTCTATCTCTGCTGTGAAGAGTATAACTCAATTATTACTGTATTTATTTTTAATTTTACTTTGTCAGAGTAATGATATATTATTAAGGACAATGCTGCTCATCATATGATGATTTAAAATTAAGGAAGAAAGTATATGTATATGCTGCTGCTTAGTAGATATGTGGTTCACTTGGGATTGGAAAGTGGAGCTCATAATCTAAAGTCGATCAAGAAGGTAGCTTTATGTTACTTAGCACTTCAGGCTGTGTTAAGATTTTGCTTTGTTTGGATTTGGATCTTTGGAAAGATAAATTTGACTATGTTGTGAACTGCTTTGGGAAGAAGAATGAGTGTGGGAAGTTGCGGACTTGGGGTTGTTAGGCTATAGTGTGGCTTTTTGTGCTTATTTTATTTTATTTTATTTATTTATTTATTTTTTGTTGTGATGATCATGAAATGAGTTTTGCTGTAGAATTTTGTGAGTGAAATTAATTGGAATAGAAAGTTTGGAGTTTTTTTAACTATCAGGGAACTTAAGTTTTATTGTCAAATAATAATATGATTACTGACTAATCTACAATCCTTTATTATGTCTTATTGAGGCCTTATATGATGTATAAGGAGATTATGGATGAAATGGCATGTGGTATTAGTGCTTAGTGCGTTGGCACTTGGCAGAGAATTGGAGTTTTGCATCTATCTGGAGGTATACATGCAGTCACTGTCTGTTCCAATACTAGTCCAGTAGTCCGCCTTTCTTTTGACATTCTTCGGATAAGCTAAGAGCCTAAGAGTGGACTTTATACCTATTGGTAAGGATTATAAAGGTTAGGAAGGATTGCATGTGGGTTTAGCTAAGTAACCTGCATCCAAATTAGAAAGCAAGGGCAATTCATTGTCTCACAGTAATGGTGATCTTATGGCTACTTTCTTTGGACTCTTCAATAATATACTAATCTTGCTTATCAGATTGTTGGACCTGACATGGCACCAAGAGATGTTTACAATTGGACCTCCTCTCCCCCCTCTCCAAGGAATATTCCGTAGAAGCAATTATTTCCATTCCCTGGATAGCTCAGTAGTATATATGTTGAAATCCTACTAGAGTGTGAAATTGTGAATAGTCTATTGTAGCAACTTGTTCTCACTTGAGGACGGAGCATCGGTTTATTTCAGAGAATTATTATATAGGCGCAGGGGGTCTTTTGGGAAGGGGTTAGCCTTGAGGAGCTTCATTTCATGTTCTTATTATAGATTTCATTTGAACTTATCTGAATGGAGAATGAAATAGTGATTTCATTGATGGAAGGCTTATTGTATAGTATTAGAATTTGAATCAAGGATCACAATTGAAGTAAAGCAAATATGGAATAAATTCCAAATTTGCAATAGTGGCATGTATTGCGCTGTATTTGATTAGCTGTAGAGTGTGGCCTGCAATCAGTGCCTTTTGCTACATGCTGGTCCTTATGTTATCTGTTATTTTCTTATCAGACTAACCAGAGATTTGGAACTTCAATTTGTCAGTCAGTTTGATTGGACATGTTGTTGCATGTGAGTAGAGGACTAGAGGTGATAAAAATATGAGCTTGCTCACAAGTTACATGAGCCAGTCAAACCCTGACTAGTGATGTTGATTTGGACTTGGTTCGACTTGAGATCATAATGGGCTGAGTTGTGGCGTAGAATGTGACATTATAATTTGATGAAATTCACTAAAAGTTTGATTTAGGATGTCCAATTCAATGGTCATTACTCGTTACAAGGGTTTTTACATTTACATTATAGGAGAAATTGCCCTAGTTGTCAGGGTGAATAGTAACCGATACAATTGGTGTTCATCATGTTTAATTGTATTATTCCTTCCAATCCCATAATAGTTTGAACACTCTCCTTTACTCTGTCGAGAAAGACCCCACTATTATTTTGATAGATCTCTCTTTCGGTCTTTCCACTACCAAATAGTTTGGGCCCCACTTTCACATTCAATAATCAACCTCAGTATTTTCTATCGCATCTACTTCTACAATAAAGTAATACCCACTATCTCCAATCACATACACTTTTTTATCAGATATTACTACCTCCGTTCCAAATTAGTTGCCACGTTTTGACTTTTGACGCTATTCATAATCTTCACTTTGAATGACATTTGTGAATTATAGATATGAATACGCTTTTTTTTTTACCAAAGATATGAATACATATAGTCATGTTGGATCTTGTCAGTTAGATCCATTCCAATGTGTACTTAATAAAAATTCACTTTCTAGTATTTTTTTTCCAATAGTATAATTAAATATATTTTTGATTGATTGATGCATTGACAAACGTGATAAAAGAAACATGTCAACTAATTTGATACGGCGGAAGTAATTGATAACATCTCAACAACTTATCTCCTAAAATTATGTGCTAAGATAAGTGTTCGAACTATTATGGGATGGCGAGAGTACTAAAAGTTGCAAATAATAATACATAATTGATTCTAAATAGTAAATATTCAGACATGGTTGATTGGGTATGGACACTTGATACTTCATTGTGGACTAAATATAGGAACTTTAAGTGCCCATAGGTTGTATTTCTTAAATAAGACCTTTAGTTTTTTGTGGAGCACAAGGTAGTGCATGAAGAGGATAGCCTACTTTTGTGGTAGATGGATCTAGTTTGACTTGTCTTTAGTCTTTTTGGGTTGGGTATGAAGTAAGCATCTAAGCAAGCATGAGATATATGAGAACTAGTAATATAACTTAAGAATATGCATTAGCTATCTCTTCTTCCTAATACCACCTCCCAAGTTGTAATGGATGGTAATGGAAAAGCATGAAGAAAACACAAGATTGGGGGATGAGATTGTGCATGGAGATAGTAGGGTTGTTTTCCATACTAAATTACACTTTATATTCATTCCTATTATTGCATGGCTACCAGATGTGTGTAGGTGGTATATTGTATATATCTTAAAGCCAGGAGAGGCAAAACTCAAAACGGTAGCATTAGAGTCAGGCTGTTAGCTCATCTTCTTACTATCCCTAACCATGGAAGATTGACTTCTCATCAGAGTAACCAGGGGTTTCATGAGTGACATGTAACATATGATATCTAAGTTGAAAATATCATCTTGTAAAATATGCATGCTAATGTAGCTAACCAACTAATCTTCTCTTTTTTGACTTGTAGCTGTGTCACGTGCTTTAATTAACTTAATAAAGAACGAGAAGGTGCTGCTTGAGCTTCCTGAAACAGATAGTAGAGACAATGAGGGAAGCAGATGTGGGTCAACTTGCAGAATCAATTTCTGGTTCTCGATGCACCAGATCACATTTACAAGCAGCAGCAGTATGGACTGTACAAGATATGCTTATTCTTGTGAATGAAATTGCTGCTGTTGAAGGGGACTGGCAAAATTCTCTGTCAACTCATCAAAAATGGACCATTATATCAGAAACTTGTACTGCACTGGGAGTAGGAAGGAATGCAAACCAGTGCCGCAGAAAGTGGCAGTCCTTGCTTGCTGATTACAATCTTGTCAAGGAATGGAAATTGAACTCTGGGAGTGATTCTTACTGGTCTCTTGGGTGTGATAGGAGAAAAGAAGCTGGTCTTCCTTTGGAATTTGACAAAGACCTGTATAAAGCTATGGAGGATTTCATGAAGGCATCAGATAGAGCAGATACAGACCCAGAATGTGATCCGGATGCGGGAGAGGTTGATGTTCTTGATGCTGAGGAATCCGGTAATATGTTTTTCTATACAAATCACGAATGTAGTTCCTTTGCATAGTGAAAATATTGACATGTGATGCTTTTGCCATTTTAATCTAAGTCGGTTTCCCTTTTGATTTAAATTTGTTTAGTAGTACTCCCTTCTTCCCAGCACTTGCAATAGTTTGACGTTTTGCATTATTCATATAACCTATTTTGACCATTTTTTCCCTTGATATTTAAAAACAAATTATAGTATGATATTCTGTTTATTTTAATGTATATTCCAACATTTTATGATTTTTACTAATAGATAATTAAAGACATTGATGGGTAAAGTTGTGCAAATGTAAGCATGTCAATTAGTGTTGCAAGTAATACGGGACAAAGGGGGTGCCTTTTTTAGATAAGGATATAGCGATTCTGTCCATCTACTTTCCCCTAGCAGCTGACTAATTCAGGTCCTGAACCAACCCTATCTATTGAGATTTGAACTATTATATGACTAGAAATTGAATTTGACCTTATCTGAGTAAAACAATCTAAAACCAGTTAAAATTTTGTCAAGAAAGGCTGTTAGCCACCAGTAAATACCCCAAAATAATGGTCTTGAACATGAGTACTAATTATTTGGAATAAAACTTAGTAATACAAAAGCTGCTTGATTGAATTAGTGTTCTGCTTCCACTTCCCTGCTGAGGAGTGGTCCACATATCTCTGTTCAACCACTCAGGGGCAATTTAGATAGCTTTGGAGGAGGGGGGGGGGGGGGATGGAGTGAAGGGTTATTTTGGTACAACCATGGTAAAGTAGTCATTGCTTTTGATGAGAAGAATGGGTGAGAGGGGACTGAGTTCTAAACACTCTGAGGAGTATACAGCTGACTATACTTCTCGCCTTACTGTCTCCTTGTGTATTGCACCTTGCATAGTATACATACCCAATTGTGAGTGGGACATTTGTGTTGCATTTTGTTGTAGTATACCTAGACTTTGACTTGTGAGGAGATTCTAAGCAGTTAAGGTTTATGCTCACCCAAAGGGGTACTATTGGTTAGAGTCCATCTCTCCAGCCCTTGATTTTATTTGACCCGATCCAAAAGAGTCATATTGTTTGAAACTCTTCCATCAGTTTTCCATGAAAACCTTAGAAGAGTATGTCCTTTCTAGATAACTGCCATTCATCTCTATGTAAGAGTTATGTCACCTGTCAGGCCTCTCAACTATCATGCTCTATTATATCTTGATTCAAAAATTGAGCTTTCTCCGTTTACTATTGTTTGCTTTAGGTCCAAAACCCAAAAAGCGAAGGCGTCGGTCAATCCCTAAAAAACGGTTATCTGAAGGGAGGAAACAGCCTGTAACAGAGGTAGAGCATGTGATTCCAGAGCCTCCTGTTGCTGAAGACATGGAGCAAATCCTGGCTGCGAAACTCATGGAGAACACAGAGCTGATCCATGCCATACTTGCAGGAAATGTTACTGAAAATGTTGACGAGGACTTGACCAGTGTAAGAAATGAGGAGTCCCTGAAGACTGAAAATGTTAGACGTAAAGCTGACAAGCTTGTTGAGTGCCTCGGAGATCTTGCCAAAAATCTGGAACACCTTTGTGGTGCAGTGGAGAAAGGTTAACAAGGTACCTCTGACCTCTATAGCAGTTTAGCGCTAACTGACTAATTTTATAGGTATAGACTTAAGTGACCATGTCAATTTTTGTTGATGATGGTAAATCAATTTTGTTGCTGAGAGTTACTATAGTTAGTATTCAATGCTGTATGGATTTTTGTCTATTTATGGAAATGCAGGGCTGCCCAATTCATCTCGGAGATGGTCGGTAATTTTTTATTTTTATTTAGGTACATGTATAGACTATATAGAGTACATTGAGGATGAAAAGTTTAAAATATGAGATGTTTTGGGAAGTTTGGGAAAGAAGGGGGTATTTCGAGGAACAACCTCTTAGATTAGGGTTTTTGTCAAGCCATGGAATTTCTTATCACAATGAAAAGAAAGGCATTTATTTTTTGGCTTTGGAAATTCATCAGCCATCCACAACATGGGAATGGCTGATGGCTTGATAGCTGATAGATTTCAACTATCATCAAACTTGGATAACAACATAGAAGTAATAATATGTGTGGATTATCATTTTACCAATGGTTTGTAAGCTATTTGATGGTAAAACCTCACAATTTTTACTATTGGCATGGTAATATCTCGCCTTATGGTGCCATGGCGGGTAATTAGAAAGGGCAATCTAAAAGATTTATGTATCTTGTACAAACGAACAATGTATAACTAATTAAGATTTTTGTCTATTTATGGAAATGCAGGGCTGCCCAATTCATCTCGGAGATGGTCGGTAATTTTTTATTTTTATTTAGGTACATGTATAGACTATATAGAGTACATTGAGGATGAAAAGTTTAAAATATGAGATGTTTTGGGAAGTTTGGGAAAGAAGGGGGTATTTCGAGGAACAGCCTCTTAGATTAGGGTTTTTGTCAAGCCATGGAATTTCTTATCACAATGAAAAGAAAGGCATTTATTTTTTGGCTTTGGAAATTCATCAGCCATCCACAACATGGGAATGGCTGATGGCTTGATAGCTGATAGATTTCAACTATCATCAAACTTGGATAACAACATAGAAGTAATAATATGTGTGGATTATCATTTTACCAATGGTTTGTAAGCTATTTGATGGTAAAACCTCGCAATTTTTACTATTGGCATGGTAATATCTCGCCTTATGGTGCCATGGCGGGTAATTAGAAAGGGCAATCTAAAAGATTTATGTATCTTGTACAAACGAACAATGTATAACTAATTAAGATAGTATACAAATGAACAATGTCAACTATTTTAATTGAATTGGTTTAAAGTTTTGAGAATGAGACTTAATACCTGATTTATTTAAACTAAAAGGGATACATAAATACAATATGTTTTGATTAGTAATCTGCCAAATCAATCAAGGAATGATAAAAATTAAAAATCAAGAAAAGAAATTAAGCAAAAATATAAATAAAGTCGACTCTGCTGGGGATCGAACCCAGAATCTCTGGTTTCGTAGACCAGCGCCTTATCCATTGGGCCACAGAGTCACGTTGTTGGTTGTATATTCATATTAGCTATTTTAAAGTAATTTTTTGTGGCTTTATTGGACCCAATTTGTGATTTAGTCTTTCTTCTTGTTATGGGAACTTGTATTGCCTAAAAAAGGTAGGATGAGGATTGTAAGATGATTAACTCTCAATAAGCATCCACGTAATTGATCGTAATTGAGAAAAAAAAAATGGGTTAATTGATAAATATATTAAGATAATTAAAGTTAATTTCGCTGAATATAAGACGTAGTGGATAGAGTTTTTAGTTAAAACCTATTTGAAAGCCGTAATTGATTGAATGAACCAAACCATGTGCAGTTATTATCAAATAAAAATGCCAAGGATAGAATTTACATGAATAGGATAATTGTTGAAAAATTACATACAATAAGTTTTTGTTGCCTTAACAATATTACATTTCACAAAAACAGAACTCATTTGATATGTATATTATCCACACAAAAAAAAAATATTGCAAACTAGGGTGAAACATGAATTTGTTGTGAACACTCAGGAGATTATCATTCAAGATAGTACAATTGCCTTGCTTAATATCCAGAGAACTAGTGACATTTCAAATGCAAATAAAGTGTGAAGCATTCCACGATCAAGCGCGAATCCGAATAATGTAATCCCACCATTGTTATGCTGCAAGTATGTCACTACACAAAAGAAAATCAACATTAACCCGTATTAGACCCAAAAAAAATCCTACAGTCACATAAGCTTAAAATAACGGAACACATTTATTTTTTAAACGCATAGTGAAACTTCTAAATGCTAATGGCATTAGCGGCTCTATATTTAAACTAGCTACTAAAGCCAATAGTGGTTCTTCTTGCAAAATATTAAGATTTCCTCATTTAATTACCTAAAGCTTGTCTAGTTTGGAAGGCATGTTGATCATTTGAGTCTTTGACAACAGCTTCGTCTAACGAGGACTGATCGAAATCATCCGAGCTTCGACTCGAGGAGTTCTTACCTTTGTTATGGTTTGTACTATCAAAGCAACTAGTCATAAGCATGTGCCATCTTGTAGCAACCGAAACAATGCCTTGAGCTCTATGTGTTATTCTTGCTGCTCCCATCAAACATAAGAAAAATCCACTCAATTGCTTTGCTGAACATACCTACAATTCAAGCACAAAATTTTTTATACACATGAATTAGACACTAGTCCATTTGTACATTTGTAGTTATAAAAATAAATGGACATAACCCTTCGCTTAGATTTCTGCTTATATTTCGATGTTTTGGTAACGAATGTGTATGTAACAACTAGTTATTCTCACGACCTTACTTGAACAGGATCTGTTCTATAGGTTCGTACCTCTGTATCCTTGAGTTCTAAGGTAACAACTAGTTATTCTCTACCATATAAGTATGTTACATTAATTTCAGTCGTGTTCTGTTTTTACCTACATTTTTCTTAGGCATTTTCATGGCTAAATCGATTATTAAACACGCCTACATACACGAGTTTTAAACTTTTTGTAACGAATTAATGTGTTCATTGTAGAGGCTGATGTAAGGAGTACGAGTACTTACCACAAGATCACCCGAATTCAAGAAATTCTTGTCGGACTTGGAGGCTAAAACCAGCAAAAGTGCACCCAATTGACTAACTGTGATGGTAACCATGCACCCAACAATGAAGAACCAAAATCTGTGGCTTGTAACATAGAATTGATCTCTAATTCTACGATGTTCTAAGTATATAGCACATGGCTCGGACCCTGAACCCTCGAACATATGTCTTAGGCCTTCGAGCCTAAGTATTTGGAGCTCACAGATTAGCCGAAACAGGACACATACAAGCAAGAAAACACCGGTCCTATACACCCATGACATGAAACTTGATATAAACATGATTGTGTTGATTGGTAAAACATCAATAACAGGAAATGAAACAACAACAGCTGAGAAGAAGAGAATTTTATGCACAAATTCGACGATAAAAGAAGGGAGTAGGATGAAAGCAAGGCTTTTGAAGGCTTTATCTACTTGATACTTATAACCAAGTTGAACATCTAAGGAATCATCATTTAGACCATCAAGAAATAAGAGTTGCTTAAGGCCATATTCCTTGAAAAATCGATATAATGTTAAGAACCCGATAAAGGCTAGGCCGGATTCAGGGAGTTGTACTAGTTTGTTGAATGAAAGAGGCTTATCAGGAGAGGAAGAAGATGGAATTTTAATGGATATAGTGGTTAAGATTGGAATGATTATCGCGAGGATAACAAAGGTGAGGTATGATATGTTTTTGCCTAGGGAGGAAGAGAGATCAAGTGCACACCATTTCAAGCATCTTCGAAAGTGGCGAAGCTCATCATGCATAGATGAATCGGATCTTTCATTAGACTTTTGCAAGAGTAGGGGAATATGGGGTTGCTCTTCAATGGTTACTCCTTCAAATTCATTGGTCGTAGACTGATCATTTGATCTGTGGTTTTGGAGGGAAACAACGACACTATTAAAACTGCTCGATAATTGACCATAGAAGATATTTTTCATCATTGGATTTATCATAAGTTTGTGAGTTTTGAGAATTCGAAAGTTGTAGTTCCTATAAGAATATGAATCTCTTACGACTACATGTAACACGATCTTGTAAAAGTCAAAAAGAACATAGTCTTATTCAGTTTCATATAGTAATTGTGATTTGTAAACAACTTTCAATAGTACTAGGATAGTAGGGATGCCTTTATAATTTTTACACATTAAAGATGAACTTAAGTGTGACAATAATTATGGGAATCAGATGAAAGTTGAGTCAGTTGACCCAATGGATCGACATGAAAATGAAAGCAACAAGACTATTATATAAAGAAGTTTTTAAAATTAATTATCTACACGAGAAAATTAATTAAGGGTTCACATGTGAGTTTTTATTTTATTTATTTTATTTTTTATTTGTTTATTTTCCTACCACAAAACATGGATTTCATTTCTTGTGACTTGTGGTCACTACATCGGGCCTAGTTGAGAGAAGGTGGAGGGTATTTAAGGGCAAGGGCTACATCAAACTAACTAAATTAAACATTAGCCCATATAGAGTAGGCCAATGTTACAAAATCGGGCTAGGATATCAAATGTGGCTTTTATTTTATTTTATTTTATTTTGATGATAGGTAAGATAAGAATTGTGAAATCCGATCTAATCAGTTTAGATCATATCAGATAGTAGTTTACACTAAGTCATTGTGTCTAGGGTTGTACACCGGTCCAAAACCGGACTGGACCTGACCCGGACCTGAATGGACCGAGACCTGAATTCTTGATTTTAAGGACCGGAGACCGGACCTGAATCAACAGGTCCGGTTCCGGTCAAGACCTGAAAAATCAGGTCCGGTCCGGGTTTGGACCTGAATAGACCTGATTAGGTTTTTTTTTTGAATTTTTTAAATAATATGAAAGTGCTGACTTGTTTAGACCTATTATTAAACATGGGCACGGGTCGTGCCGGCACGCGGGCGGGCCCGGCACGACTCCGGCACGGCACGGCACGGCGGCCCACCTGTGGGCCGTGGGCCGTGCCGTGAACAAATGTGTGGGATTTGGCACGGGCACGGCACGTGGCACGCCGGGCGGCACGGTGGCCGGCACGTGGGCCGGCACGCTGGCACGACCCGGCGGCACGGCACGTGGCACGGCCGGGCACGGCACGGCACGAGCCCGCAAGGCACGACCCGGCACGGCACGGCCCGTGCCATTTACCGTTGGAAAACTAGCCGTTTATGGCCGTTTTCCAACAGCTATAAACGGCTAGTTTTCCACCCCTTTTCCCACCCAAATTCCCTATAAATACCTCATATTTTCCTCCAAAATTTTCACAATTCATCAACTCATCTCTTCTCTCTTATTCTCTAATTTTCTTACTCCCAAATTCTCAATTCTCAAATTCCTACAAATCCTACAATCTTGCTCTCTTTTGTGAAAAAAAAAAAAAAAAAATTCCTACTCTCTTATAAATTTTACATTTTTACTATTATTACCTTTATTAGTCTACTACCAAAAAAAAATTGTTATATTTACATTCGGGAAATTATAAATTCGGGAAATTATAAGTTCGGGAAATTATAAATTTGGGAAAGCATTGAAGCGTCATTGTAAGATCTAACTCAACTTTATTTTAATTTTTTATTGTTAGTTGTTAATCTTGTTATTATTATTATTATTATTATTATTACTATTATTATTATTATTATTATTATTATTATTATTATATTCTTGGAAGTTGGAACTACTTAATTATATAAAAACTACTTTCTATTTTAATTGTGGGTTATTTGGATTGTTGAAATCTGTCTAAGGCGGGACTTGGGCTCTGGACAACGTCGCTCCTAACCTCTCCTACCTGGGATCGCATTGATCCAAGTAATCTACTATTATTATAATTATTTTTAAAAATTTAATTTATATAAAAACTACTTACTAATTCTTATTGTTATTGTTATTATTATTGTTGTGAATTGTTATTATTATTGTTGTGAATTGTTATTATTATTGTTATTGTTACTTTGTTATTGTTATTGTTATTTGTATTATTATTATTATTGTTACTTTTATTGTTATTATTATTGTTATTTGTATTATTATTATTATTGTTATTGTTACTTTTATTGTTATTATTATTAATTAATCATGGCATCAAACCCGAACGCTTCCTCCTCCTCTAGAAAAGCCAAGTCAAAACGTAGGGAATCACCAAATCCAAACACTTCAATGCCTATGCCCCCCCTAACATGCCCTTTCCCTCCCCTAACATGCCCTTTCCAAACACTTTCACCCCTTTCTTTCATCCCCAAAACACGGGAGGGCAAGAAAAAATGGATGATATGGCTCCTTGGACCCAATTTCAACAAAGCCAATTTCAACAACATGAATTTCCTTTTCCTCCTCCTTCCCAAGGTAGCCAAACACAAGCCTCCGGGTCGAGTGAACCATCCACCCAAATGCCCAACACCCAAAATCCTAACATATTAGAGTGGTGTACCGAAGAGGATTTTGCTCAAACCAAAAGAAAGAGTGAAGTTTGGTCACATTATCAATTAAGTAAAAATGGACAAAAGGCCAAGTGTCGGACTTGTGGTAAATTTTTCTCGGCCGATACCAAGGGAGGGACGGGAAACCTTAATAGACATACAAAAAAATGTGGTGGACCATCTAGTGATCCAACCCAACCCAAAATTTCTCAATTCCATCCACAAGGCTTCATTTACGATTACGAGAGAGATAAGGATGAACTTGGGAGAATGATTGTACATGCGGAACAACCTTTTCTTTTCGCCGAAAATGATGCCTTCAACAACTATGTTAACCGAGCACTACAACCAAAACACAAAAAAATCTCCCGAAAAACCGTTCGATCTGCTGCCATGAAGAGTTATCTAGAGTACAAATTGAAATTAGTAAATGAATTAGCTAATCTTCCTATTAGAGTTTCTTTAACCGCCGATGCATGGGATGGTGGTTACGGACTCCACTATTTATGTGTTACTTGTCATTGGTTAGATAATGAGTGGATGTTACAAAAACGCATCATTCATTTCAAAATGCTTGAATACCCTCATACCGGTCTTAACATTTCACATCATTTAATGGAAGCCATTGATGCATATAGTCTTAGGGATAAAATCATGTCAATGACTTTCGATAATGCAACTTCTATGACATATAGTGCGAATTTGGTCAAAAACCAATTGACCGATGTTATATTAGATGGAGATGCACTTCATGTTAGATGCATTTGTCATGTTCTTAACTTGTGTGTGAAGGATGGAACACAAGCAATTGGTCCATTTTATCACAAAATAAGGAATGTTATTATGTCTATTAATAGCTCTAACATGAGATATCAAGAATGGAAAGGTTTTTGCAGGCAACAACGGATAAAAACCATAAAAATAGCACCAGATTGTCCAACTAGGTGGAACTCCACCTATGAAATGTTGAGTCGGGCAATCGAGTACAAGGTTCATTTAACACTTTTTTATAATATGAAATTTCCACAAAATGCTTTGCTAGAAGATGATTGGGTTAATTGTGAAAAATATATGCAGTTTTTACAATTACTATATGGTATGACACATTGTTTTTCTTCTGTATATAATCCTTGTTCTCATTCTTTTCTTAGTAATGCATGTTTACTTGCACAACTTTTTGCGGAACACCGATCTCAACATGTTTATCGTGGATATCTTCCATCCATGGAGGAAAAATGGCGTAAATATTACACCGACATTCCTATGATTTATATTTTTGCTTCTATTTTAGATCCTAGGCAAAAATATGATGGCACCTTTTTATTAATTGATATTTATTATAGTAACATGAATTTTGAAGATGATGTTGAAGCTTTTAAAAGGAAGGTGACAAATGATTTTTTTTCTTTATATAGAGTTTATGAAAGTAAATATGGAACCGTGTCTCGATTTTCCCCTTCTCAAACATCCAAAAATGTAAGTAAACGGGCCAAAGGTTTATTTGCACAAGCTGCTAACATGATGTCCAAGTTTTCAGGTACGGAATCATCATCAAGTAAGAGAACACAAAGCGATGTTTCGGAGTTGCAAATGTACTTAAGTTACGACTTCATGAAAGGCATGGACGATGAAGAGAAGTTTGGCCTCGACATCCTCGATTGGTGGAAATCACAAACCGTGAAACATCCAATTTTGTCGGCAATGGCTCGTGATATTTTTGCAATCCAAGTCTCCTCCATTGCCTCCGAAAGAGCTTTTAGTGCGCCGGGACGAGTTTTAGACAATAGAAGAACAAGAATAAAACCCGAAACACTTGAAATGTGTGTTTGCTTCAAGGATTGGTTGGATGCCGAAACTCGTTCTCAAGATCGTACTTATGCACAAAACGACGACGATGAAGGAACGTCGACTTCTTTTAGTTCTCATACTTCTCAATCAACTCAATTGGCGGATGAACTTGAACCTCTAGAAGACGAAGGCGAAGACGAAGACGACCAATAATAATTACATGATTACATATTTACATTATACACTATTGTATTCTTTTTGTATTATCGAACTTCGTATTCCGTATAATAAATGAAGTTATTCATTATTCATACACTATTGTACGATTTTTAATTATCATTACTTATTTTCTATTATTGAATTATCGTACATTCGTACCGGCTACCGTCATATAATAAAATAAGTTATTCTTCAATTTTTTGTGTTTTCGGATTATCGCACTGGTATTTTTTTTTATTATATGCATTGTTGTTTTTTTGCTAAATTAATAAAATTGTTTTTATTTGTTTAAATAAACTTAAACATAATTATTAATTAGATAAATAATTTATATAACCTAAATTAAAATAAAGTTGTTCAAAAAATGAAAACAAAATATATTAACATTAACATTTAACATAAACATAAATTAATCACATATATTAAGTTGTACTAAAAAAAATATATATTGTTTAATTCGTTTTTTTTTCATTTATTAAAAAAAAATAAAAAAATAAAAGACTGGCACGGTTTGGCCCCCGGCCGGGCACGACACGGCCCGAAAGGCACGTGGGCTGTGCCGTGCCGTGGGCTGGGGTGTGCCAAATTCAGGCACGGCCCGCCGCAGAGCCGGCACGGCACGGCCCCCACCCCGGCACGGCCAGGCACGACCCGTGCCCATGTTTACCTATTATGGACCTGATTGGACCTGTTATGGACCTGTTTGAACCTGTTTATGGACCTATTTAATCTTATTAAATATAAAAAAGTAGTTTTACCGGTTTCAGGTCCGCACCTGAAATTTCCGGGTTTTACCCGGACCGGACCTGAAACCCGGAATCCTTGAATTTCAAGGACCGGGACCGGACCTGAATCCACAGGTCCGGATCAGGTCCAGTCCCAACAGGTCCGGTTCAGGTCGGTTTTCAGGTCCGGACCAGTTTTTGTACACCCCTAATTGTATCCATACAAATCAAATGTGCAAACCTATTTTTTCAAGTCATTTTGATTTTTGTCGGATTGTATTTAAACGGACAATTTTTAGACAATTCTAGGTAAAGAGAATTGCCTGGTCGGACTAGAACCTCGCATGGGTTGACATGACTAAATTATCACGCTAAATCTTTTAGGAGTTGAGGAAGAGGGGAGGGGGGGATAAGGGACCTCCACTCTCAAAGTGGAGATTTACATGCACCCTAAAGTAGGTGCACCTAAAAATAATTTTTTTTGCTCATTTGGAGAAAATGAAATAAGAAAAATGAAAATAAAATATTTAAATGAGAATGTTTCACACAAGGAACTTCTAAAAAAGCAAAATAAAACTAAAAAAATTATGGAAACACATACACCTTTAAGTGTTCGTGGAGAAAGACTATAAATGATTACCTCACTATAATCTTCTATATAATACATGATTATTAAAATGATCAATGCTAATTAATCAAGACTAAGATGAAAAACTTACCAACCAACAAGATCATAACAGCAACAACTATCATATAATCTAAACTATTAATTATAAAGCCGGCCTAAACAGCTAATAATATGCTAAATAGCAAGAACAACATACAACGAACAACATATCCAAGTTCAATAACCAATTCTAAATTCCAAGGTCAATTCTTAGCACTATTTCATCTATACCTTTAAACCCATTTCTAGTTTCTTTTTCTCTTCTTCATCCAAATGTTCAAAACTCCACAAAATTATAGTACATAGTTGTAACAAGCTCGAAAAACAATAATGTTAGCCTACCATAAGACCATTTGGCTAAACAATGTTGTTTTTCTTCTTTGGGTGATGGTAATCTTACAAGTTGAGGCAGCTAATGATGCCGAAATCCTCCTCAAGTTCAAGCAATCCCTCTTGAACACCGATGCCCTAAGCACTTGGGAGACGTCGAATGTCCAACCTTGTACAAACAACACAAGGAATTGGGTAGGCGTTATATGTAATAGAGGTTCGTTATTTGGTTTACAACTTGAGAATATGAAATTAAAGGGGACTATTGATATTGACACACTAGCTCAATTGTCAACTTTAAGGACTATTAGTGTTATGAATAATAGTTTGGACGGTCCATTTCCGGCGATAAACAAGCTAGGAAGGCTTAGATCGGTGTTTTTCTCGTACAATAATTTCTCAGGCGAAATTCATGATGATGCATTTGAACATATGGCCGTGTTGAAGAAGGTGCATTTGGCTAATAACTCGTTTACAGGAAATGTGCCTAAGTCTTTGGCTAATTTGGCTATGTTATTAGAGGTGACTTTAGAGAATAATCAATTTTATGGGCATGTTCCAAATTTTAAGTCCTCTGAATTGAAGGTGTTTAATATATCAAACAACTATTTTGATGGTCAAGTTCCTCCTTTTTTGGCTCACATGAATACTTCTACATATTTGGGTTAGTAATCTTCTCTTTTTACTTTTGGTTATGTTTTAGTTCTTGCAATATATTAAAGCTTATAATAATAAGCAACGTAATTTAAGGGTTCATCTCTTTAACTTACTTTAATGACTTATTTATGGGTTCAATATGCTCTCTAATTTTGATGATTTGTTTAGTATACTAGTGATAAAAAAATGATGAGTTTTATGTGAGATTGGGGAGAGGGATTTATGATAATGCCCATGATACAAATTTTCATATCAAAAACATAAATTTTTGGGGAAAAAAAAAAGAATTGGGGATAAAGGTATTATTTTTTCCAAATTTTAAAAGGATGATACATGACTTTTTTTTACACAAGTTTATTGTCTTATGATCATTTAGCGATGGGTGGTTAGCGATCTAGCTATGAAATTATCAATGTTGAACTTTTCATTACGTCTCTCAATATAGTTCCATACTTGAGAGAGTAAGGAATAACTCAAGTGGTTAGAGTTTTCCTCCTAATTTCAGGTTATCTTAGGATCGATTCTCACCCCACCCTTGTGGCTCTCTAAACACCTAAAAATATATAGTTCCATACTTTCATATTTAGTGGTGAGAGCAAATAAAATCTTGAAGTTTATATATTTTTGCCAAAAATAACTATTATAACAAACATTTCTAAGGTCGTGTGCTAGCTAGACTAAGTAGTCCGTAGGTAGTGTTTTTAATAAGCAGCCTTTTAAATTAAGACATATAAAAAAAATAAAAAAAATAAAAAAAACCACACACACACACAAATTTTATTACCCTTATTTATTTACTGTCCTATGTCCTTAGCAACAATTTTACTTCTGATACTTTCACATACAAATTTTCACGGTGTTTCCCTTGAAAAAAAACACGGCGTTTCTACTAATATAAAAATGTCATTATACGGAGTATTATATTGTTCAAATAGTAACCCGGCGTATTTTTTTTTTTTTAGATAGAATTGAATGTCGATTTTAAAAGGGTATCTAATAATCATCTTAAACAACTGATTATGATACATATCACTAATGGTATATGATGCAAAATAAATTAGTAGTTGTGGGCACGTTTAGACATCAAATAATGTATTGCCCATGTCAAACACTTGACCAACTTATTTGCGCACCTCAACGTTCATATGCTTATGACAACAAATTAAGGGACACGTACCAAAAATTAATTTGATTTTATTTAAGTTGCTTTCAAATTGGTTCATTTTCATTTCACGTAGGCCGTCTCCTTATTAATGCAAACTTATTCTTTCATTTATTCATTTTTAATTATAATTTCATTTAAGTATTTTGCTTTCAATAATTGAAAGATCTTGACTAAGATATATTCTAGGAATCTAGCTATATGGTCAATAATTAAAAAAAAAAAAAAACTGCCAATTTTCATGCACTCCATCAAGTTTTTGACTTTGTCTAAATGAATTAGAATGGGAGATCTTTAACTCTTTTTAACTTGGTAATTTACTACATCAAATAATATAATTGTATTGTTTAGAGTTAAAAGAATTAATTATCTAAAAAAAAATGACCATAAAAATTAGGAAAATTTGTGAGAAACAACCTTTTAAGTTTAACATTTTGCGAGAAACTACCTTTTAAATTATTTTTTTGTCGGAAACTACCAATTATAAATTTTTTTTTGTGAAAGACTACCACTCAATATTTTCCGGCATTGACTATCTATTTTTGTGAAAGACTACCACTCAATATTTTCCGGCCATTGACTATCTATTCCAGCGTTGACTTGCACACGTGACTAATAAATTCCCTATTTTCCCCAATTTTATTATCGAATTCCCTCCCTTTTGTCACCCTTCATCAGCTCCAATTCCCCAATTTTATTTTCCCCAACCGATTCAATTCAAGTAGATCGGGTTTTTTTTCCCCCAAATTCTGAAATTTTACAGTTTTTTACCAAATATTCAGCTATCATGTCTCATGGGAACAAAATTAGATGCGGATGTGGAATTCCCGTTGCGAATAGGACACCATGTAGAAGATTTTTATCATGTAAATTTGGTGCCAAGATAAATGGACAAAACAATCTGAACTTGGAATGGTTTTTTGTTAGTGTTGTTATATTCGTTGTTATTAGTGCTACTGTTATTAAAATCATAGCTTAGTGTGATGCTATCTTAGCTTAGCTATTGTAGTTGGTAAGAAAACAATTACCATGTGCGGTGATGGATTGGTATGTAATATCTATCAATTATTTGGGATAAATATATAAGTTAAGTTTATGTTTATGCTATGATTTTGGATGGTGTTCCTAATTTTTGGCTTGGGAAATGCAAGATGGTTGAGAGGAATTATCAAAAGGGGGCAAATTCGTTAATAGAATTGGGGAAAATAGGGATTTTATTAGTCACGTGACTTGCACGTGCAAGTCAACGTCGGAATAGATAGTCAATGGCCGGAAAATATTGAGTGGTAGTCTTTCACAAAAAAAAATTATAATTGGTAGTTTCTAACAAAAAATAATTTAAAAGATAGTTTCTCGCAAAATGTTAAACTTAAAAGGTTGTTTCTCGCAAATTTTCCTAAAAATTAATGAGAAACAAAGGTAAAAATTTTCTCATCCTAGTGTTCGGACAATTGTTACATGTATTAATACCATTCTTAGTCCTTACTGATAGACCAGGGCACATATTCTTCCATATTATATGTGGATTTCTGACACGTTATTACGAAATGTCTTTGTATAAGTAAATAATTATGTTTTAATTCATTATTATGAGGATTGAGACGATGTGACAATTGACAACTAATCCTAACAAATTGAGGTAGAAGTTTGTATTTAATTTCCTTGTATTTGATATGACAAAACAGGAAATCCAGGCTTGTGTGGGAGTCCATTACCAGCATGTAAACCTTCAATACACAAGAACTCTTTATCCATGGTGTTAATCATTGTGATAACCGTTGCACTATTGTTGTTCATGACCGGGGTATTCATAGTACTAACCAAGTACCGGGGCACAAACACCGGCAAGCAAATCACTGCAAGGGATGTAGAGATGCTACCACATGAGAAAGCCAAGCTAAAGCAAGGCGGGAACGATTTGTACCCAAACAACCAAGCAAGGGCTCTAGAGAGGCCAACAAGTTACAAGAAAAGTGACAATGGAAAGCTTTGTTTCTTAAGAAATGATAGGCAAAAGTTTGAGATGCAAGACTTACTTAAGGCCTCAGCTGAAGTTTTAGGGAGTGGAAGTTTTGGATCATCTTATAAGGCAGCAATTATAGGTGGACCAACTTTTGTGGTTAAGAGGTTTAGGCAAATGAATAATGTTGGAAAAGAAGAGTTTCAAGAGTTGATTAAGAAGCTTGGAAGATTAAGACACCCTAATTTGCTTCCTTTAGTTGCTTTCTTTCATAAAAGGGATGAGAAGCTTATTATTTCTGATTTTGTGGAGAATGGTAGCTTGGCTAGTCATCTTCATGGTAAGTTCTCCTAATTAATGTTGCTTTAATTTCTTTCATGTTCTTTTTACACATCCTAGTTGAATCTTTTTGGTTATATAATTTGTGTTTAGCTTAAAACGGCATATTTATGTGTCATGACATGCCAGTATGTATAGCTTAATTATGAATTGTGACGTGCATATATAATGGGCCCTAATTGCATTATTGCATTTAAAGGCCGATTCATTAATCTATACATATAAGACAACTCTTGTCAAAATTATATCATAAATCGATCAAGTCACCGCGTAGATTATCCCAAATTTCATAAAATGTTACACTTGGACCATTCATAAATCTTATACAAGACTTATTGATTTAATTCAAGAATCATGAGCATATCTAGTGCAAGTTATATAGATTGGAATAATGCCTAAGAAAGGTTCTTAAATTGTTATTCATATTTTACAATGTACATTAAATACACATGTATTCATATATTACCATCTATTATGTAGGAAAGCGTACTCCGGATCAACCAGGACTAAGGTGGTCTACAAGGTTAAAGATTATCAAGGGAGTAGCAAGAGGCTTAGCATACCTCTACAGGGAGCTAGCCGAACTCGCCTTACCACACGGACACCTTAAATCATCCAATGTACTCCTCGATGACAAATTCGAACCCTTGTTATCGGACTATGCATTCACACCATTGATCAACAAAGAACACGGTGAACAAGTCATGGCCGCGTACAAGTCACCAGAGTTCACCCAAAACAACACCATAACCAAAAAAACCGACGTTTGGTGTCTTGGAATACTTATACTAGAAATCTTAACAGGGAAGTTCCCAGCAAATTATCTTAAGCACGGAAAAGGTGGGAACGACGAATTAGCCACTTGGGTTGATTCCGTTATTAAGGAAGAATGGTCCAGTGAAATGTTCGATATGGAAATGAGAGCATCAAGAAGTTGTAAGGGTGAAATGTTGAAGTTGTTGAAGATTGGAATGTGGTGTTGTGAATGGAATGAAGAGAAAAGATGGAGTTTAAGAGATGCAGTCGAAAAAATCGAGGAATTAAAAGATATGGATAATGATGATTTAGCTGATTTTCCTAGTGGAAGATCATTCTCTTCTGAAAGTTCATATTCAAGAATAGCTTCAATAACAACTGAAGAAGTTGTTTGATTTAGGGACTAACAATAATCATGGAATACGTACGTGTAGTAGTAATCCCGTGGTTTGGATTTAACACTCACGTGACAACTGAATCCGGACAAAGGGATCGAGTATACTTGAAATTTGAGGTAGCAGTTTTATATTCAAAAATTCATGTTAGTTTTGCAGCATACTTGAATAGTTGGATGTAAAACAAAAGGTGAGAAATTTATTGTACCTTATTTTTTATTTTTGCTGTTTCTAATTATCCATTTAATTGTTAATTTTACTTTAAAGCTTTAAATTCCTTTCTTCTAATTAGGCTGAGGTTTGAAATAGAGGTATCAATTACAGAGTATTTGTACTAGAACATGATACATACAGCTAGTTTTATTAAAAATATATATATACTGTAGGGAATTTTTATTTGTTACTTCTGTAAATCATTATGGCTTTTTAATGAGTTTATATTTACATAAAGCAGTATATTTTATTTAGATTAATTCCATCTCTTATGTTTTATTTCCCTAAATTCTGTTTTCACCAATTCTGAAGAAAAATGATTGTCAGACCATAAATAATTTGTTTAACGGGATTAATATAAGTTAAAAAAAACAACAATAATTTATTACTAGAAGTTATAGAGTTTACAATTAAAAAATAATAATAATAATAAAAAAACCCAAAAGTCAAGAAATGAAGATTGATTTTAACTCATTTTACTAACAACATTGGGTCAGACCATTTGACAAAAGAACTACAGAGTAGGATAATATTATTTCATTACCTTTTTCTAAATTTAAAAAATCGATGATATAATCATTGGTGAACTCCTTAGACCCAAAATATGACCATTAGTGAAGTTGACCAATAACGGAAAAAATTACCGGACTAATGTTTGCTAATTGGAAAAAAAAAACTAAACATAAACAAACTCAAATATAATCAGTATTACTCATCACTCGAATATGACCCAAAACGAATCCCGATTGCCCTTGTAATATCTTCTCAGTCCTTTTCATGCTCAATTCTCTCACTAAAAAACACACTCTAAATTGGAAAAGAACAATAAAGACGCGCAATAGGATTGAAACAAAGCCATAAATTCGGATATTCCAAACAATACCAACTTCCCAAGTCAGTTTATCACATAAATAAATAAAGCTCAAGCTTTAACTTGCCTTACTTACTTTGGTCACTTTGTCCCAAAATAAATAATACTCCGTATCCATTATCTTCTCTGTTTCCTATATACTGGGACCAAGCTTTTCTTTGCTGATATTCATCAAAGGAGTAGTTCTTCACCACCCCATTTAATTTGAGGTATACCCTTCAATCTCTAATTTCTTTTTATGGTAAATATTGATTCTTTTTGCATAAAAATCTCATCTTTTCTATCATTTTGTCTAAATTTTCTGTTTATTGAGTTAAATTGTGATTTCTGTATATATATGTTTTTTTTTTCTCTTTTTTTTCTTCATCTTTGTCTCTGAGTCTTGTGGAGTGGGTTTAGTTTCAGATAAGCTGTATTTCTATTTGAACTCCTAAAAGAATAATGAATAATTGTGTTTCAGATAAGCTGGAAAGGTTTCAATTTGCTGACAAAGTTTAAGAGGATTTATAAGACAGTACTCCCTTAATCTCTAGATAAATTTCCTGTTCAATCATATTGACCATTAATATGTTCAAACTTCAAATAATATTGATGGTTAGAAATCAGAATTCAATCTTACGGAGTATAATAAATTATAAAAAAGTGTGGTTTATTTTGAGATGAAGGGAATAATGTACAGTACTGCGCTGCATAAAACAAAGAAATAAAGTATACCTGGTAGGGTATCTAATTCTGAATTATCCAAATCTATCTGACAGCTTGTGCCTCATAAAACTTGATATTGATGTTTGGAAAATATATACTGTACTGTAAGCCCCAAAAGTGCTAAACTTCTTGTGCTTGTCTCAACCAAAAAAATAATCTTACTTTGACTTTTAACCAACCAAATTTGAGATTTTCTCTCAACCAAAATAACCACAACAATAATCACCCCCTTAAATCAAATTTGAATGTCCTGGCAGACTTTTTCAAACATTTTTTTCACCACATTTTGACTACTTTGCATATTTAGAATCAACATATTTTTTGAATAATTACGGTTGAAGTTTATAAAATCCTATGAGGTTAATGTAATCTGTAAATTTTGCTTCTTTCTGTTGATGATTAAGTGCCTAACAGACACGAGAACAGTATCAAGAACAGAATTAGTTCCTATTGCCATGGCTGGACCTGATCATCATGCCGTGCCTGTTGGCCAAAATGGGTTTAAAAAGATATTAGCTTCTGAAGGTATTGAGTTCCTCACATCTGCTAGTGGAAAGGTATTACTTCTGTAGACTAGTTACTATATGCTAGTCTTAGTTATTTTGTTCTTGTTATGTCTTCTTAACATGATTTCTAAAGCTTAATTTATATTTCCCATCAACTTTCCCTCAAAAGGTTAGCAAAGGCAATATTTTGTAAGTTGCTAAGGAGTATAACTTGCTGGTTAGGTACTATGGAGCGCTATAGACGGGAAAACAGTCTGTCTATTCTTCTCAGCCAACTGGTGCAGGCCTTGCAAAGCCTTTACCCCCAGTCTGATACAAATGTACAACTCTCTGAAGAAGACTGGAGAAAATCTAGAGATAGTATTTGTATCCTCTGACCGAGATGAAGAAGCATACACTAAGCATCTTGAAACAATGCCCTGGCTGGCTGTTCCATTCAATTTAAACCTCTGTACACGACTAACTCGTCTATTCAACATTAATCTTATCCCAGCACTGATTCCTCTCAATGTCAATGGAAATATTGTTGAAGATAATGTTGTTAGTTTGGTTGAGGATTATGGTGCTGATGCCTTTCCATTTACAAGAGAAAGAAAAGATGAATTAAGAGCAATGGATGAAAGAAAGCGTCGAGGTGGTAGAATCGAAGAGCTTTTGGCACATGCTGGAAGGGACTATCTCATTTCGAGAAATGGGAGAAAGGTATATATGTAGCAAGTCTTTTTAGGAGCTCTTAACTAATTGATAGGAGCTCAAGTCATTCCTCTTCCCCTAAATTTATTTTTTGTACATACATTTCTTCCTCGTCTAATAAGGACATGTTTGGTTAATTACGCAGATACTGGTGTCAGAGCTGGTTGGTAAGACAATAGGCTTGTATTTTGGAGCTCATTGGTGCCCTCCTGCTCGAAATTTCACCTCACAACTTATTCAGTCTTACAAGGAGCTTGTAACTATCCTAAACCAACCATTCGAAGTAATCTTCATATCAACTGATAGGGATCACGATGAATTCAACTGCAGCTTATCTTCCATGCCATGGCCTGCTATTCCATACGAAGATAAAACCAGGCAAGACCTTAAAAGGATTTTCGACATAAAAGGTATACCAACCCTTGTACTAATTGGACCAGATGGAAAAACCATCAGCTCCAATGGTAGGGCTATGATCTCCATGTATGGAGCCATGGCATTCCCATTCACAGAACCACGAATTGCAGGAATCGAGGCCTCTCTAAGGAAAGAAGGAGATAAAATTCCCTATAAAGTTCAAGACCCGAAGCACGTACATGAGCTTAAATTAGACATGGAAAAGGCTTACGTTTGTGATGCTTGCAAAAAGCAAGGAAGGTTTTGGTCTTTCTCCTGTGATGTGTGCGACTATGACCTTCATCCAAAGTGTGTGGAATAGGATGAATAAAAGATAGCCTCTATAGCCAAGATACAACATTAGACTATTCGTACATAAATAATTGTCACAATCATATATTCATATACGCACAGAGATTCTCTGTGCATAAACCTTCTATACTATTCTTTATGGCAAAACTTTTGTAATTCACATATTGACAAAAGAATTTAGTATTGACACTTAGAACTATAGAGCAAGATAAATGGGGCTTGCTACCTACCTTTAGAGGAAGAACGAAGATTACACAATATTGAAATAGTCGTGCAGCATAGCAATAGCTGCGGAGCCTAGACAACCAAGAGGATCGAACCACATCCAAACTGTGGGCCAAGAGAAGCCAAATTAACCGTGATAGTCGAGATGGACCAACATCGCAGGACATAAACATCGAAGAAAACCGAAATTGGCACTGACACCTAAGCAAACTCAAGACGGAAGTTGTTGAGAGACGTAAGAACCGGAAGCTGAATGTACCCTTTTGCTGACGAACGAACCTTTGAGCTTTGACACAATTCCACTCCTAGGGGTTGAAAACCATAGCTGCATCCTAGGAGTTTGGGAATAAAACCAATGGAGTCATATGCTTTAATGACTCGAGAAGACATGCACCCAAATGCAGGTTCTCTTCTTGCACCTCTATCAAGAGATGATGCAAGAAATTGGAGGACTTTGCTTAACCCAAACATTAAAGATGGGTAGCCTCCTACAAGACATCGATTAACAACGATGGCTGATTTTGCCATCACCAAAACTAACAAAGGGATGACTGCAATTGCATGAATGCCTATATCATCCCGTAACCAAGCAACAAGAGCAACAAACAAAACTCTTCCCTCAAGATGACTCTCCTCCTGCAAACTCCATATGCAGGGAAAAACATCTACCTGCGCAACTAACTCCAACCCTGGAAAATTGTGTTAACTACCAGGGGAACATATTCACATCCCGACAAGGCCTCTAGATGGACCCTCAACCCAACTAATAAGGGATTGCTTAAACTAACAACCCTTAAAGCCGACCAACAAGGCTCCAAAGACAACGGGAACACTTCGTAAACTTCCAAAACGATAACTAAACCATGTAACTCTAACTCATAACTAAGCAGAGGTAGAGAATTATTTAAAAACAACAACCAAAACAACTGAACAACATAACTAAACTAAGGCAAATTAAATACAACAAGAACACAAGCACCCAAACCTACGGGAGGTAACAGGAAGGCTAGAGAACCCGAATAAGCTTCACCGGTAGAACCAAACCTTACCACCAAGAACAATTCAAGAGCACCGCAATAAGAACCCCTCACGAATCCTAATTAACCTTGGAAACGCGAGGAAACCCTAGCCTTAACTTCACCTTTACCGTCGGGAAATTAATTAATCAAATCCTTTCGACGGCGGCGTTAAGAATAGCCTTTGGTTCTTGATTCGTTAAGCCAACAACGAAGCTGACGAAACCACCGAAGAAGGCAAAGGAAAACCAACTCTGCAATTCCACTGTTTTCTTCACCAAAAGACCAACAAAACAAAAATTAAACAGGAAAAAAGAAAACTAACGATAGGGATGGGCTCGCCGGCGACGGCTACGCGCCATTCGCCGGCGAGCAGGGGATGAGAAAGAGGGAGGCGGTGGAGGCGGTTAAAGGATAGAGATGGCTTAGACTTAGAGAGAGAAAGTGCGGTATTGTTCTTGACTTGTCTAGTCAAGCAAGTTTAATTTGAGCCACCCTCTCATTGATCCCCCTTCCACGGCAGCAAGTCAGCAACCCTTTCTCCCATCCCCGGCCTCTGCCTAGAACCCCCAACCCCATTGACTTACCTCCACCGGCGAACCGACCCCCTCCCTTTCCCCTTTACCCTCGCTGCGACTACCCTCTTAAACGCTAGCCCAAAAATTCCACCCAATAGAGTGGCCACCATCATCGCCGCAATCAACAACCCATTTCAGGAAAGGTGATTCGTCATCTAGGATTTTGGGCATTCATTAGAATTGCTTAAAGCTCTTCCAAAATTGAGATTCAAAGGGTCCGAAGTTTGAGCGATTTGTTTTGATAACTTGCCGGCGAAATTTGCGATTTGTTCGTGCGATTTCTATTGGAAGGTGAAACTTCCCGACGAACCAGGGTAAGGGCGGCATCGGCGTCGGCGCGGGGTAAGGGGGAGGCAGACGACAGGTAGTAGGGGCGGGGCCGATTCTGGCCGCTGCGGCTGCTGCAGGGGAAGGGGGGGAAGGGGTGGCTAAGCTAGGGGTAGGGTGTTTTATGTTTTTTTATTTAGTATAATTAATTAATTCAGAGTTAAAGGCTAATTAGGTAAAATTAAAGGATAAATAGGGTAATTAGAGTTTTTGTTGTCTTCAACAAAAATATTTTACAATCTGGTTGCCAAAAAATTTTTTATAAGGTTTTTTCCAACAAAAAAGTTGTCATAAATGATTTTTTTCTGACAAAATTTCCAAAAACTTAATACCTACTCTACTATGATTTTGATAGGATGTCTCTGAGATTTGAAGCTATGGGAAGTTTAAGTTTGTGAAGACTTGCTAAAGGAATCACTCAAAATCATACTTGTTCAAATACAAACTGATATATTGAAATTCATCAAAATTTTGTGCATAAAAAGTTACAGAAAATGAACAAGGGAACTCCCAGCTATGGTTATGAGATACATTTATCTCCTACTTGTTTCCAAGTCAAAAAATAGAGAAAATATAAACCTATAACTGATGTATTGACTTGAAAAAATGAAATACATAACACTTCAGTAATGCTTGATATATATACAACAAAAAGTATAAGAGCCTCCAGAATCCATGCTATTTTACTCTAACCTGCAGGATGAGATGGACATTTCTCTTAAAAATCGACCTTAGCTGCTCATTTGCTTCCATACCGATCCTCCTAATGACAAATCACATGAACAATACACATGTATTCAGTGCATACACAGGAATGTTCTCAGGAAAGATAACTTAGGTCAAGCAGACCCATCTAATTTGCTGAAGTAGAGTAAATCTGACTTCGATACAAAGCAATTGTTTTAAAAACTAGGACGAGTAACACTATCAGGTCAAAATTTTGAAACTGAAATCAGAACTGGGTACAAACGGTTCTTAAAACTGAAACCTGATCTGGAGCCACTGGGAGTAGTAATTCAGTAAAATTTAACAAAATTAGATTCCAAAATAAGAAAGTGAGTCATAGAACAAAACCAAGAATCCTAAAGTAAACAGGGTATAAAAGGCCAAAATATTTTGATTAGGAAAAGAATCAGTAAGAAGGGATATATTATTCTCAGGGCTTTGAATTAGCAGTTCATCACTAAGGTTTTACATCAACTCATCCTCAAAAACATTAATGAGGACTGAACTGTGGCAACAACAAAATTACTTCTTTGCAGATAACTATTTCAAACAGGTAATACTTTTGTCAGCCAGCACAAGAATATATCAAAATAGAAGCTGTTACGGAAGGTGCTTGTCATTTGTCAGTTGTCAGGATATTGAGTGAGTTTCAGGAAAGTAATACTTATTTGGATACTCGGTTACATGCAAACGAAAAAGAAATAATGAAAAGAAAAGAATGCCAAAAGACAGAATGGCGATAAAGGCTGCAGTCAGCTCCATTCATCCAACTTGAAAAGCATGGGGCATACCCAATTACCTATGTTGATTTACTACTTCCAGTCTTCCACTTAGGTTAACTAAGTCCCCTATTCCCGTATCAAAAAAGTTGACATACCCTTGTCTTTGGATCAGAGTAATATTAGAAACAGAAACTAAATTTAGAGGACATACCCAATCTTTGAGCCATTTTTCCCCACAAGTATCTTGCGTTGACTTTCTTTTTGAGTTAAAAATTGTTGCTCAATCCTCAACGATCCATCTCTCAAATCCTTCCAGTCCACCAATTGGTGATCTATCTCATATGGGATTTCCTGCCAAAAAATATAAATAAAACGAATTAATTGATAAGTTCTAAAAATCTCTGATATACAGCACTGGTCTAATGTGCTTAGCAATTCCATATTTCCAACTCAAAAATGCAACACAAGAAAAAAAATAATAATGCAAGGGAGAATCAGATAAAAAGATGTAGAGAAGTGAAATGCACTACCTGATGCACATGATCTAACAACCTCTCACGGACTACTTCCAGGGATATATTTTTCATAACTTCTTCACTCATTGTGAACGGATCTTCATCCCAAGGTCTTTCAGTTGCCTACAGGGTCAAAAAGCAGCAATAAGGCATTTTTATTTGGCAAATAAGACACTGCCACTCCAAATTGCAGATATATCCATCTAGAATACTGTCGGGAGGTAAGGAAACCTACTTTTTTTTTTTTTTTGACACAAAAGGAAACCTACTTAAAAGACGACTAAATTTCAAAAATATAGAATAACAAGCAGTGCAAGCACCACAAGAAAAAAGACAAACTCACAGTCACGAGATGTATATACAATGCACATCAAAATAGAATCAACCAGAATCAGGGAAAAAATCTTTATTGCTTAGGTAACAGAGAGCCTTGTTCTGGGAAGTTCCAAGAGTGAAACTAAGCATGCTAGTGTACCCATAATGATCCAAGCATTCAACTAACCAGAACTTATGCCACTAAACCCCCTAAGATTTGATATATAAGTTCTTAGAAATGAAAAGGTAAAAGGATGTGTGCACGAAAAAAAATTCTTATAGGCAAGATTCATTGTAGCCAATATAAAAGTGCAGCATTAACACAAAATTTATTATGAAAAAGTATAAGAGGTACCTGTTCCATCAGGTATGCAGAAAGATCTTTTACGCCAGAACCCTTCAGCCCAGATATCATGAAAACCCTAATAGAACATAGCAAATCAGAAAACCAGCTTTTCTGCTGCACAACTAAAACCTAATATATATACAAAGCAATAAAAAAAATGTAAATCTACCTTTCATATCCTTGCAAATCCTTAAATTGTTCAGAAACCTTCAGCAAATCCTTCTTCTTTTCAATCAAATCAACTTTATTCATACAGAGAATACGCTTCTGTTTTGTATTAGGTTCAGACCCTATGCGCTCTATTAGTCTAATAACCCTTGAATCAGGCCTGAGAATCAAGGACAGATTAAAATGATCAATTAAGGATAAGTTATGACTTACTTTGTGAACTCAGATAAAAGAATTATGAACAGGCAT